ACTGTATTGTGGTCACGAAAATACACAGAAGACGGCGTAATTCGATCTCTTTCTTTGTTTTCTAAAACTCTGACCTTTCCTTTATAGTAGTAAGCGGCACATGAATTTGTTGTTCCTAAGTCTATGCCAATAACTATATCGCTCGTTGGAAGTGCTGCCTAAAAAAAGGAAAAACAGTGGGTTACGTCGAATAGTATTTTTTAATTTTGTGCGGACATAGTCTTTAATGTACAAGGTGATTATTTGGAAATTTAAATATTTTTCTCATTCTTAACAAAAAATTAAATTAAGAATTATTAGGGCTTCTACCACTCCGAATAAAAAGTGGTTCCTATTACAAAGATTTATTTCATTTAATTTTCTTTAGTAATTAATCATTGATAACTCAAGTAATTTTTTTTGTATAAGAAAAGAAATGTTTAGCTGTTATCAGTGATGTACAAGCTTTCATTAATTCTCAGGTATGTTGAGTGTCAGTAAAGTAAAATTTAATTTGTTATATTTTTAATTAAAATTGTTTGAAATTCAGTTACAAGATGAAATTATCATGTGATCAAATAAATGTGTCATCTCTATTTTTGGGATACATTAATGCGAAATTTGTTTGTTTGTTGGTTTTGCTTTATTCACAGAAATTTCGATGGCCACTATTTATCATAGTATTTATAAGTTTAATTTGGATTTGAACTAGTTTTTGTGTTTTTTGGAACCAAGTTTGTTTGAAATGTTTTAAGAAATAGACATTTTGGTACTAAATAAGCTTGTTGGATTTTAAACATCTTTGACGATTGCACTGTATTACAACTAAAGTAATGTTTAATAAAAAAATACTTACTGCCATAGTTCGGTAAATATGAAGCAACACAATTCAAATGTGCACTAAATTTTTTTTTACTGATAAGAGATAAGACAATCGCAATCTCGTTGTGTTCGGCACTTGTGAAACTATTAAACATTTTATACGCATAATCACTCGATATTCGTTTACTTCTTGTTAATATTTTATTCGTAAATGTTCATAAAGACCAAGTTACAAACAAAAGAGCAATAGAATACTGTGACATTAATTTGAAAATTGAATGTTTACATATGAATAAATGGCTTCCCGTTTCTTGTTGAAATTTTTTGTTTTTTTGATAAAATTCATTCGATGTCTTGTGATGACCGTAAAAATGAAAAATGAAAACATTTTCTGATTTTATTTTTTGTTTCAGTGCGGTCAAATAGTCGGTTATCAAATCCGTCTCAAGTCCAATTTCAACCCAAACACCGGTCGAATTCTCTACTGCACGACCGGAATCCTCCTCAAACATCTTCAATCCGACGTGAATTTGAGTAACTTCACTCACGTCATTTTAGACGAAGCCCATGAACGTGATGTCAACACAGATCTGCTACTGAATTTACTAAGAAATGCAATAACAAAAAATCCAAAACTCAAACTGATCGTCATGAGTGCCACCGTCGATATCGATCTATTCAAAAACTACCTAAACGACGCTCCCACGATGCACATTCCGGGATTTACATACCCGGTGAAATCGCATTTCCTCGACGACATTAATCTAGATCTGAGTAAAACTCGCAAAATGTGCGAAAACAACGAATCACCGAATGTCATGCACGAGGACGTGGTCAAAGTCATTAATTATGTCCATAATACGAAGAAGGAAGGGGCGATTTTGTGTTTCTTGCCCGGTTGGGAGGACATCGTCAAAGTCGAGAAATCGATTCCGGCGAGGGGCGATTTGGCCGTGTTGTGTCTCCATTCAAGGTTGCAGGACTCCGACCAGAGGAGGATTTTTTCACGCACTCCACCTGGTGTCAGGAAAGTGATTCTCTCGACGAACATTGCAGAGACTTCGGTCACGATTGACGATGTGGTTTATGTTGTCGACACGGGGATTCACAAGGAGAATCGATTTGATAATGAGAAAGGTAAATGCAGTGTTGCCAGATCAAAAACATGAAATTCACCAGATCCGAGTCGAAAAATTCGCCAAATTTTGACCATATTACAATTTGTATGGCTATATCTTACGAAAAAACGCAATTTTCAGCTTAAAACTCTTGAAAAAAAAAAAAACAAAAATTACATGAATTTCGGTTTAATTCTGTGATTTTTTTGGCTTGTTATCAAAAAAATTTTGCGAAATAATTGCGTTTCTAGCTGAAAAACGCGCTAAAACGCTCGGGAAATGCAAAAATTAAGTTATTCTAGATTTCATTTCTTGATTTTTTAGTTTGTTTTAGCGAAACCTTGTGGAAAAACTGCGATTTTAGTACAAAAACGCAAAATTTTGTGATTTCTCAGCTTATTTTTGTCTTATTTTTCTCAAAAACCAGTTAAATCGAGTGAAATAAACAAAATAACATTAATATCAATTGTTTTTGTGATTTTTAAGCGTCTTTGGACAAGATTTTGCAAAATAAAAGAGTCTCTGGTTCAGAAACGAAGTAATTTCAATTTCGATTACATTTTGTAACTCTTTTGCCTGCTTCAACAATATTTTTAGAATTTTTTTTGTTTCCATTTCAAAAACGTGCTTAAACACAAGGAAAAAGACATCAATAACCCTGTTTTTTGGTTGAATTTGTTGAATTTTTGGATTGTTTTTAACGAAATTTTTGCGTTTCTAGCTGAAAAACGCGCTAAAACGCTCGAGAAATGCAAAAATTAAGTAATCATAGATTTCATTTCTTGATTTTTTAGTTTGTTTTAGCGAAACCTAGTGAAAAAATTGAGATTTTAGTACAAAAACGCACTTGAAAGCATTTTCGGCCAAATTTTGTAATTTTTCAGCTTATTTTTGTCTTATTTTGCTCAAAAACCAGTTAAATAGAGTGAAACAAACAAAATAACATTGATATCAATTGTTTTTGTCATTTTTAAGCGTGTTTGGACAAGATTTTGCAAAAATAAATGAGCTTCTGGTTCAAGAACGAAGTAATTTTAATTTCGATTACATTTTGTAACTCTTGCCTGTTTCAACAATATTTTTAGAATTTTTTTTAATTTTCATTTCAAAAGCGTGCTAAAACACTTGAAAAAGACAACAATAACCCCGTTTTTAGTTGAATTTGTTGAATTTTTGGATTGTTTTAAACGAAATTTTTGCGAAATAATTGCGTTTCTAGCTGAGAAACGCTCGAGAAATGCAAAAATTAAATAATTCTAGATTTTATTTCTTGATTTTTTAGTTTGTTTTAGCGAAACCTAGTGAAAAAATTGAGATTTTAGTACAAAAACGCACTTGAAATCATTTTCGGCCAAATTTTGTGATTTCTTAGCTTATTTTTGTCTTATTTTGCTCAAAAACCAGTTAAATCCAGTGAAACAAACAAAATAACATTAATATCAATTCTTTTTGTGATTTTTAAGCGTGTTTGGACAAGATTTTGCAAAATAAATGAGCCTCTGGTTCAAAAACGAAGTAATTTCAATTTTGATTACATTTTGTAACTCTTGCCTGCTTCAACAATATTTTTAGAATTTTTTTTTGATTTCATTTCAAAATGTTTAAGCACTTGAAAAAGACAACAATAACCCCGTTTTTGGTTGAATTTGTTGAATTTTTGGATTGTTTTTAACGAAATTTTTGCGAAATAATTGTGTTTCTATATGAAAAAGTGTTCGAAAAACACAAAAATAAATTGTCATTTTCGATCTCGTTTAATAAAATCTTGTAAAAAAAAACAAACACAACCATTTTTAATCAATTTCGTGGTTTTTCGACTTTTTTGAAAAAATTTGACGAAACAATCAAATTTCTGATTGAAAATAATGTGGAAAATACAGTTTTTTTTACCAAATCACCAGACTAACATGAAAATCACCAGATCTGGTGAAATTTCACCAAACCTCGCAACTCGGGGTAAATGTAAAAATTACAGATTCCTAACTTAACATTTTTATTTGCAGGTGTCACGTGTATTGATAATTATTGGATATCGCAATCAAGCATGACCCAACGAAGGGGGCGCGCTGGCCGAGTCCAGCCGGGCGAAAGCTTCCACTTGTACACAAAATCAAAATACGATTCGTTTTCCCCATTCACCGATCCCGAAATCTTGAAAACTTCACTCACAAAAATCGTGTTGAATTCGAAAGTTTATAGTAATAATATGGAGGCGTTAGAGTTTATGAGTCAGTTACCCAGTCCTCCTGACAAAAACACCACGCGAAGAGCTGTGAGGGAGTTGAAGGATTTGCAGTTGTTGGACGAAAACGAGAATTTAACGTCGTTGGGGAGAGTTTTAGCCAATTTTCAATTAGARCCGAAATTAGCCAAAGTTTTAGTCAATGCTGTGGTTTTTAAATGTGTGACACCGGTTGTGGATATAGTCACGATTTTTTCCTCAAATACCGAATTGTTTAGTACTAGTCTTGTGGATAAAGACAGTATTAAACAAATTAAAACGAAAGGGAGCAAACATAGTGACCATTTAGCCATGATGAGACTTTTTGAAGCCTGGCTTGAGCTGATGGAAGAGCGTGATGTAAGGGCAGCCGAACAATATTGTTACGATGCTAAATTAGTTCATCATAAACTTGTCACCTTAAATAGTAAGATTCTAACATTTTTATCTTCACAAATTTTTATTTTATTTTTTTCAGAATTAAGAGATATCCATTTCGATTATTTACACAATGGGCTACATGATACTTTACCAATTGCTGATAATTACTCTGATAATGATGAGTTAGTCAAAGCTATTTTATTCTCGGGCGTTGGGACGGTATTGAGGCATCGAAATTTTGATATTGTTAAAGGGCGCTGTAAAAAGTCGAATGTTTTTTTGACTAATTACAATCACAAAGCCTCAATCACTTCAGAAAGTGTCAATTTTAAAAAGACTTCATTTCCGTCAAATTTCTTAGTTTACTTTAACGAAATTCGATCAAATATTAGAAGAACTACTTTAGTTAGAGAATGCAGTGTTATTGCTCCAATAGCCGTTCTGCTTTTCTCCGATAAACCTCTCGTTACCAAAGAAGTATTTTTACAAACTTTACTGTTTTATAATAATTAAATTGTAAATGTTTTAGGTTGAAACTGATGATAAGGTCCTTTTAAGTCTCAAAGATACCAAAATAGAGATGCTATGTTCTAAAGAGTAAGTTTCACTTTTTATTTTTTTTTACCTACATTAAACTTTCAGGGAAGCTGAACACATCATAAAGTGCAAAGAAGCGATTGATTCAGCTTATTCCTATTTTATTTTTCAAATGACTGAGGGTGGCGAGTGCAATTCACGAATAAACGCCATTTGGGACAAAATTCTCAATCACATTAATTTAATTTTGCAGAAACACAGTATTAAATAAAAATCTAGTTTTGTTGTCACTTGTTAATTTTTGTACATCAATAGAAGTTTGAGTTACTGTAATTATTTGTTTTATTTTCCAAAATATCCGTCAATTTTAAATTTACCGCTCTGCGGACTTCTTTTAGTGTGTTTAACGTGGTAATGTTGCCAACACTTGTTCATCCTTTCAGTTGCAAACGGCAAGATGGCTGATCAGGTAAGATAAATTTTACGAAAAAATCGTTTTTTTCTAAATAAAAATCACATTTTTCTAATTCAAAATGTTTCAAAAATTGTTGTTACAACCTTTTTTACTATTTTTGGTTGTGTGTCAGTAGTAAACATGTTGAAATCGTGCAGGTTGTGCTACACGTGGTTTCTTGCAAAACAGAAACGTGACTCTTGTAAAAATTGGTGTTTTACAGAACGAAAGATCGTTTCAACGTCAACCGACGGTTTTTCTCAACCGTAAGAAAGGCTTGGGTGGTAAGAGACGCAAGTCTCTTCGCTACCACCGAGAAGTCGGACTTGGGTTTAAGACCCCAAGAGAGGTACGCTAGTTATGTGCATGCTAACGTGTTTTTTTTCTGTAGACAGAGAAAGCTTTTCAAAGACAACACGGCATTAACGTGAACCGTAAAGCCGGACTCAAGAAGAAGGTCCTGAGGCTGTCGAGGAATGTAGGCTTGGGGTTTAAGACCCCTCGTGAGGTTTGTGTTTTTCTTATGGATTTTCAGGGCCAGGGCTGCTCGGCGGTGTGGGGTTTAACAGCATGGCGGTGGTGGTATCGGCGGCGCTTTTTATGTTTGTTTTGTCACATAACACTCATCTGTTCACTGTTTTATTAACGTGGTCACTAACTCATTTGCTTGTTTTTAACCTGATTTGTTAACGTCTTTTACTAATTCATGTTTTCTTAATTTGGGAATGATTTACTTATATTATTGTGAATATAGGCCATCGAGGGTTCTTACATTGACAAGAAATGTCCTTTTACTGGGAATGTTTCCATTAGAGGGCGAATCTTGACAGGAGTTGTTCAGAAGATGAAGATGCAACGCACTATTGTTATCCGTCGTGATTATCTTCATTATATTCGAAAATACAATCGTTTTGAGAAGAGACATCGTAACATGTCAGTGCATTTATCGCCGTGTTTCAGGTATGTTTTATGCACATTTTTGATAAAATATTTTTGCGCGTATTATACAGGTTGATTCAAAAGGATCGTATCTTCACTCTGGTTAAAGTCTGTTTTTTCTTTAAATGGAAATTACCAAGTCAAAGTTTTGATGAAAAAATTGGTAGCAACGACAAGTTGCCATAGCCACAAATTTTGTTTCTCTCTTTGTTTTTGTCCCTAGAAATTTTGTTAAAAAATTATGGTTATGTTTTCAAATTCAGATGTCAAAATTGTAACTTTTATGAATCTTGTGTGCCTGTTTGCTCTTTGAAAGCACTATAATTGAACACCTGAGGACAGACATCATTACCTAAGGTCCAAAGACAATTCAGTGCTAATAATTTTGATAGAAACACAGTAAGTACAATGTTGTGGACAAAAATGAGGTTCTTGTTAAAAAAAACTTTGAAGAAAAAGGATGTATACACAGAAAAAAGTTATTTAGCAAAAAATACAAGTGGGTATTAAAATAATTGGCAATAAATTTTGTGTAATTTATTGAAATCAGCTCAAAGTTGATGCATTTTATAAATTCTTCAGCTTTAGTTTCAAAATTGTTACTTTTTCAACTCGTTCCTCAAAAACGATGCACAAGACACTAATTTAATTGCGTTTTTCCGAGGTTCTTTCTCATTCATGTTTATTTTGTATTCTTGTCAATTTCTTGAGAATTTTTAGCACATCTGCATTACAAATTTCGTCAACATTTTAACGGGCCTTTTTTGTAACTTCTTGCTTGGGAACTATTCTTTTCCAAATTTCTAAAAACTTTTAGTGGTACCGAATTTGTTTCTTTTTTTTTGTGTTTCGTCTCTAAATTTTCTTAGACGATTTTTTTTTCAAATTAATAAAACCGGAACTGCCAACTTCCTTTATTAAGATTACCATGAATGAATTTACTAGTGGTGCCAACGTTAGACTGTTTGCACTTCTATTTAAAAAAAATCAGACTTTAGAATTAATTAGTTTTTCTCAAAATTGCAAATCAAAATATTGTCTCAACCTCCTTTAGGTAGGCACAGATGCTCAAAGATCCAACTTTGATATTAATTTTTGTATCTTATTTATTAATAACATGCACGTTAATGTTTTCTATCACAACATTGTAATGGTCTAACCTTTTGAATGACTTTGTATTATAATGATCAAATGGATATCATTCTACTCCACAGTGTAAAATATAATTCAAGTACTATTTTTTTAAATGTTTATTACGTTTATTATTGCGTAATTCCTTGTAAGTCTTAAAATTGGTGTTTTTGTTTGGGTTAATGTTTTCTTTTTGAACATTTGAAAACTTTTGTTCAGTGATTCAAATAACTGTCTATTTCATTGTTTTTTATGTATTTTACAGGGACGTGGAAATTGGAGACGTTGTAACAATTGGAGAGTGCCGCCCCTTATCCAAAACTGTCAGATTTAATGTACTAAAGGTCACAAAAGGCAGTAGCTCGAAGAAGAGCTTCAAGAAATTTTAATGTTACAACCGGAAAATAAATAAGTTTTCTATTTAGAAATTTTATTTGTTATACACATTCCTGTCCTGCTCAAATTTGTAATAGTATTAATAGTAATTGACAGTTCAAAAGAAACAGGTGGTTTTTTATCATTTATTTCTGGGAAAGCAGTAATTTCGTGGTTTATACTAAAAGTGTGGGCGTGTTTTATTGTCTTTATTAACGGAGTTGTGTTCTTCAATTCGGCGGAGTCGTTTTTAAGGAAAGTTATTTAATTTTTGTTTACGTGACTTTGTGCAATTATTGCGATTCCACCCTCGAAGTAATTGCAAACACGAATGTGCCGGAAATAGATCGGTCGCGTCGGATGCTATTATTTACTCCAAAGTTGATTTATATGTTTTTATATGGATGTTGAAATTTATTTTGTTTATCGACGACTATTGATAAAACCAAGTATTTTTATTCCTGTAAAAAGACAAAAGTTTGGACAACTGAAAATGTTTTTATTATTTATACTGGGTATCGAACATAGAGAATAATGTTGAATGCAATTTTGCCAATTTCTTTCATAATATATTAAATAGGTACCTAAGTAATCAAGATTTTAAAAAATTAAAATTAATTTTTGAGTAAGTTCGTTTATGGATAATTACTTAGATTAGATCAGAGCGACTGCTGGCGGCATAAGGTTTTCAGGCAGGTCCGGGGTTCTTAATAAGTATAATAAGAGAGATAGCATAAGAGCAAATTAAACAGCAAAGCATAAGAGCTTTTTTAACGTAAACACGAATTTTTTGATTTTTCTAAAATAAATGCTCCTAAGTTTTTAATAAACATATTAAAATAATCTACTTCTACTTTAATTTTTCTCGAACAATCGAGAATTTTAATAATCTGATCAAGACAGTTTTGCGCTTTTAAGGGTCCTAAAAACTTTTTGTCAGTTTATAAATTATAAGTTATACTGGAGACTGGAGTATCGATTTTGGCTATTTTTGCCTTTACTAGCGATTTTCTCAACAATTGTTTAATGTATCTCAAATAGCCCTGTTTATTTTTCAATCGATCAATGTTTTACAAAAGAATAAAAGGAACAAGGAAATTGTATCAACAAGAAATTATGATTACTCCCTAGGATTTAGGGATATTCGTGAATAGGCCATAAATTTGGTTAGGTTGGTTTCTGGTGACAAACACAAGATATCGTAACTCGTGTCAAAATTTGGGTTAAGTCACCTGTCAGTAACAAATGGTAACCAACCCTAGACATTCAAAATTACTTCTGAAAATGCTAGTCACAAACATGAAAAACGTAATTTTCCTAAAAGTTCTTTTTTCATCAAAACGAAAAAACCGTTTTTTCGACCTTCTTACAATTTTGCGTTAGTTATTTGTTAAATTTGAAAAATAAGTATTGTTTTTTGAATTTTATTACAAATTTTCAAAATAAAATCTGTTCTCTGACCTTACCGGTTTTGCGGTTACATACTACATAAATATTATGATCAAGTAATTTGTTATTCGTGTACATACTGATCTTAGTGATCTAGTTTATATCTCCAAACACTATTATTAACGATTACATTAAGCGAGAACCTTGCAACAGCATAGTTAAACAACACTTAATTTTTATAAAAAAAATTAAACCTGTCTTTGAGCTAATAAATAAGGAAGTTGCGAAATTTTTTTACCAACAGTATCAAAAATAACGAGTTTTCTTCAAATACAAAATGTTTTCGTGTATTTTTTTTTCTTGAGAGAATTGCAGAACTTTTGAAGCAGTGATACTTCATTGCGCTTTTCGAAAGGCGTCATAGTAAAACTGCCGCATGAATGAATGTGTGTTAGAAAAATTTACAAATCCTAGCACTTATGGTTCAAAATGTACCGTTGGGATTAGTCTCTCAATTTTCCAATCCAAAAGTCACGCTGTCACGCAGACTTGAAAATGCAGAATTAGCAATTAAGTGCTTTTAAGCAATAAGGAAGAAGGTTCGTCTAGCCCGCATTTTGTTGCCTCTCGTTTAGCATTTAGGGAGTGTTCTGAGAATACAAATTTATTTTAAACGGTTAATAGCGTTGCCATTCCTTTTACGGCGTCATTTTCCGCTTCTGTCTAGATAATCGGTATGTCGTATGCGTAGGAAAAATGTCAAGATGTCACGTCGGTTGATCCGATCGACTGTTCTCAGAGTTGGCTTGGTGTAGTACCCTCTTCGGCGAAGAGTCACATATGCATACACATGCACACCTAGGTGTGCGTGTGCCAACATCAGTAGCAACGCAAGGAGTTTGTTGACCTGTCTATTCGAGGCCCTCCATGGTGCTTTTATTTTAGCACCAGCATGGGCCACACGAATTGCATGTTGCGACTGCAGAAATTAATTTACAAATAAACTAAAATACAGGATGTTCCGTCTAAACCCTACATTAAATATATTGGGAGTTCGAATAATCATATTTGTTTGAAAATTGGTACATAGCCATAATGCATTAACTCCTCCT